AGAGAGAGAGAGAGAGAGAGAGAGAGAGAGAGAGAGCTAATGTTGGCGCCACCATACAGTCACTCAGCGAATTAGCGAAACCGGCAATTGCATCCTAATTTCGCAAACATATCGATAAAGAGTGTGGTGTAATTCATTCTATTGTTTCCTATTTCCGCCGCTCTGTAATCCCAGGGAAACACGTGATGATAATTGTAATATCCTTCTCCCAATGTCAAGTAATTGATAATAATATTATCCGTCGGTTTTATGTTTCTAAAAACGAAAACATTTTATCGAGCGATTTCAATATAATGAGACTAAACATTAAGCCTTATATAATTATGTCACAAAAATTACACCAAGGCCGCTATATAAGTAAAACACTATTTTCTGAAGAAAATTTTAACAATATAATTGTGCGCTTTGTATTATATAAAGTAATTATTTGTTATTATGCAAACAATTATGTTAAAGTTTTATAATTTATTGTTAATCGCGCACAGATGAAATTTTGGATATCGTAATTAAACGTGCGAATTACATACTTATCATATGGTCTAGTACCCCACGCATGAGCGATGCTATTGATGGTCCACACGGTGTGCAGAGTGATAATGTATCGTATAAATACTTGCGATATTATGGCTCTGGCCCAGGTTTCGTTCCAGAGGTATACTGGTATTATTGTAGGTAGAATGAAGCCAAAGAAGAGTTGAAGTGATAAATAATATCTATAAAAATGCTATTGTGAACGTTTTGAAATCATTCAAGTGCCGTCTATGCATTTCACTAAATACCTATTAAGAAATTCTTTGAAATTCTTTTTCTTATATAGTAATTCTTCATATAATAAATTTTGAATTTAGAAAAAAAAAAATTATAATTCACTTATAAGAAATAAAATTGTTGCATTACATATCTCAAGAATACATTTGCCGATACTTATTTATGTTATTATATGTAAAAAAATACAAATTTATTCTCTAATTCACTACAAAATAAAGAGAATATTTTTTACTTTTCGCCAAAAACTACGACAGGATCCGACAAAAAATCTAACATATTGATCTGTTTGCCTTTTTCAATAAATTTCGGATGTTCCTTCATCATTATCCAACCAAT